TCTTCGGGCTCCAGGGGTAAATCCGTTTCCTTGCTTTTTCCAGCTACTTAGAGACCTTTCACATTGATTAGCTCATAGTCCCCTTCCTCCATCTTCAAAGTGCATCATTCCAACCTCTGCTTCTGTCATCACATCTCCTTTTTCTCATTCTGATCTTCCTGTCTCCTTCTTTTAAGGACCCTTATGATTACATTAGGCCCACCTGGATAATTCAGGATAACCTTCCCATCTCAAGATCTGTAACTTATCACATCTGCAAAGTCCCTTTTACTATGTAAGGTAACATATTCACAGGTTCCCAAGATTAGGATGTAGACACCTTTGAGGCGGGCCATTATTCAGCCAACCCACTATGTTTGGAGTATTTCTCACCTTTTGGGTTCAATCCCACCCAGGTAGAATCCTGAACTTTACTTTTGATAGGACACAGGCATGTGACACAATCTGGCAATCTCAGATGTCTGAGATTTCAGTTCTGAAGTGAACAACGAGAAAGTAGGTCTTATGTGGAATATATTTTCTGGTGATACTGGTGGCAGAATTGTTCAGCTTTCTGGACACCAGTGGTGTTTAGTGACTAGTCCACATCAGTGATGGGATCTGGCTGTCTCTGCCAAGCAGTTGCAGGAGCACGGGTCTTTCCTAGAACAATTCCATAGCAGTCTTATAAGTATAGCCTGCAATTCCGATTATTGGGCCCACCCAAAGATTCAGTGAGTACCTGCTTTAATGAATTTCTTTTCTGCTTATACTAATTTTGAAGGGGTTCTTTTATTTACAACTAAGGATCCCAGCGGACACAACCTCCTATCCTAGGGTTGTAAGAAGAGCCTGCAGAGAGGCTGATGGAGTGCTCCTAGAAAACTGTAACAACAAACAATATTTTGGGGTGCCTATTAGATGCCAAGCACTTGGTAAAAAGGCTCTGAAGAAATGCAGAGCAATCATTCAAAATAAGGGCCAGTAAACTGCACCATCCTTTGTAATAGTAGGTGTGAGGAGGAGGATGGAAAGACAACACTCCATGTGGCCCTACTCTGAGACTTTCTCAATCTGAACAGATGAATGCTGTTTGTGAAGGGATGGGAAAAGAGATTTTGATTACTGATGCTGGTCAGCATGGATGCATCCCTCAGTGTTTTTCAAAGCACTTCACCTCATTAGTTGTTTATATTAAATTAAATAGTCTTGGAATATCCATTAGTTCAGAAAGCAAAAGTATATCTGACTTAAGACTGCTTTTCACCTAGTGCCATTCTCACCCCTGCATTATCTACAGCTCACTCACCCAGGCCCTTAGTTCCCCTCTTTGTAGGACAAGGTGATTTTTATTTTTCAAAATGATGTTTTTTCACTTGCTCTGTTTCTGTGCCTTCTGCTTACAGTTAGGAGTTCACATCTGACTCTGGCAGTTAGTAGCTGGGTGACTTGAACCAGTGACTTAATCTCTCTGAGCTTCCTTCTTCTATAAATGTTGATATTACACTCCCAAGCAGGCTTGTAGAGAAGAATGAATAAGTGTGTGGGATGGTAGCTGAGCTCAAGCTCTGGATTCAGACATATCAGAGTTCAAATGGTAGGTTACATCTTATCAGCTGTGTGCCCTTCAACAAGTCAACCTGGGTGTCTCTGTCTCCTCTCAATAAAATGGGAGATAGATAAGACCTCCCTTATAAGGTTAAATTATTAAATGAGATAACAGATGGAGAGCTCTCTGCACAGTGCCTGTTAGCTACTAATACTATTAACAGTTAAGTGGCTGTTTGGAGTGGGTGCTTGGAGTGAATTAAGGAGTTATCAAATGAGAGAAGAAAATCAACTTCTTGTTTTCACACACCCTCCCCCACCACCCTCCTTTAACACAGTCTTAGTGATCTGGAATGCTCAGGAAACAAACATTTAAAAGCTGCTACTACTGACAGAGGTTGGACGCATGGTTGCCTGAGTTCAAGAATAGGAGAGAGGCTGACTACTTAGGAGTGGAGCACAGGGAAATTTGGGGGATAATGGAAATGTTCTATCTTGATTGTGGCAGTTGTTATATGACTGCATTCTTTTTCCAAATTCATCAAACTGTAGATTTAAAATGAGTGCATTTTCTATATTACACTCCAATAAAGTTGATTTTAATTATTATACTAACAGGACCTCTAGAGTAGAGGTTGGGAAAGTTTTTTTTTCTGTGAAGGGACAGGTAGTAAATATTTTAGGCTTTGCCAGCCATAGGCTCTGTTAAAACTATTCCACTCTGTTGTCATAATTCAAAAGTAGCCATAGACAAAAGACAATAAATAAATGAATGTGTGGCTGTATTTCAATAGAATTTTATTTATGGACTGAAATGTGGTTTCTTATATTTTTCATGTGTTACAAAATATTACTATTCTTTTAATTTTTTTCCCAACCATTTAAAAATGTAAAAATGATTCTTAGCTCTTGGCCTTATAAAAAAATGCAGCAGGCTGGATTTGGTCCCTGGGCCATTATTTGCCAAGCCCTGCTCTACAGTTCAAGAGTCTCTGTCAAGTAGCATTCTGAAATCTGCTTTAGGGGCTTCCCAGTGCAAATGCCATGTCTAAGAGGGCTGGGAATCTAGCTCCTGTGAGTCCTATGGGGTCCTTGCCAGAACCTACTCCCTCTGTGGCTAGACTAAGCTGCTGCTTCCTGACTTCAATTTCCCCATCTGTACAGGGAGGACAACAATTGTCTCCCAGAGGCCCACAAAGCTCATTCAGCTTGTTACTTGGGAGAAAATGCTCTATCCGAGTGCAGCAACTGATCATGACTCAGGTTATGTGTCTGGCCTGTCTTGATCATCAAGGGGAAAGGTTTGATTTTTTCAGATTGTCATTCATAAAATTGCTTATCTTTCCAGGTGATGATCTTATTTCTGAATGTGGTCTGATAGTCACATTCCCAAAAGAGGAGGATTATTTTTTCAAAGAACTGGCAGCAGAACAGTATTCTCAAAGCTTGCTCCTTCTCTGCCAAGATGCCATCCCCAGCATAAATCATCCCTTAGGGGAGGCTTTCCCTGAGAATATTTGCCTGGGCAGGGCCAGAACTGCTCCAAGCTCCTGTGACAGCAAAGAGAGCTTTAAAATCCAAACCACACAAACTGAAATTTCTTTTTTGGTTTCTGATACTGGTAGGAGTTTAAGGAACCTCTTTGGGGTTGTAAAAACTGCCAAGACATCCACAAAAGCCAAGATAATTCTGGAGTTTCTAAAGCCTCAAGGGTTAAAAAAATTTTTTTGAATATTTAATCTAAAATTTAGAGATAATAGGGCAAGATGGCAGAGTAGAAGCACATGAGCTCACCCCAGTTACAAAAACACCAAAATCACAACTAACTGCTGAACAACCATTGACCAAAAAAAAAAAAAAGCAACACTGGACCCAACCAAAAAAGGGACCCTACATCCAAAGAAGAAGCCACAACAAGACAGTAAGAGGGGCACAATCACAATAAAATCAAATCCCATACCCACTGAGTGGGTGACCCACAAACTGGATTATACCACAGAAATTCTCCCACATCAGGCTTCCCAGACTGGGGTATCTGGCAATGGTAGGAGGAGACCCCAGAGAATCTGGCTTTGAAGGCCAGCAGGGTTTGATCACAGGAATTCCACAGGACTGCGGGAAAGAGAAATTCCACTCTTGGAGGTTGCACACAAGGTCTAGTGTGCACCAGGATCCAGGAAAAAAAGCAGTGACCTCATTAGAGACTGGGGCCAGACTTACCTGCTAGGAGTGGAGGGCCTCCTGCAGAGGCAGGAGGAGTCTCTGGCTCACTGAAGGAACAAAGACACTGGCAACAGTACTTCTGATGATTACTCAATGGTGTGAGCCCTACTGGAGGCCACCATTTCCTCCCCAAGACCTGGCCCCACCAAACAGGCTGTAGGCTCCAGTGCTGGGATACCTCAAGCCAAACTACAAACAGGGTGGGAACACAGCCCCACCCATCAGCAGAGAGGCTGCTTAAAGTCTTCCTGAACACAGCTCTGCCCACCAGAGGGACAAGACCCAGCTCCACCCACCAGTGGGCAGGAACCAGTCCCTCCTGAAGCCTGCACTAACCTCTGAGACAGCCTCATCCACCAGAGGGAAGAAAGCAGAAGCAAGAAGAACTACAATCCTGCAGCCTGCAGGATGGAAACTGCAATCACAGAAAGTCAGACAAAATGAGATGCCAGAGGAATATGTCCCACATGAAGGAACAAGATAAAACCCCAGAAGAACAACCAAGTGAAGTGGTCATAGGCAATCTACCTGAAAAAGAATTCAGAGTAATGACAGTGAAGATGATCCAAGATCTTGGAAAAAGAGTGGAGGCACAGATTGAGAAGACACAAGAAATGTTTAACAAAGACCTAGAAGAACTAAAGAACAAACACTGAGATGAACAGTATAATAACTGAAATGAAAAATACACTAGAAGGAATCAATAGCAGAGTAACTGAGGCAGAAGAACAAATAAGTAAGCTGGAAGACAGAATGGTGAAAATCACTGCTGCGGAAGAGAATAAAGAAAAAAAAATGAAAAGAAACAAAGACAGTCTAAGAGACCTCTGGGACATTTTAAATGTACCAACATTCGGATTATAGGGGTCTCAGAAGGAGAAGAGAGAAAGGACCTGAGAAAATACTTGAAGAGATAGCTGAAAACTTCCCTAACATGGGAAAGGAAACAGTTACCAAATTCCAGGAAGAACAGAGTCCCAGGCAGGATAAACCCAAGGAGGAACACACCAAGACACATAGTAGTCAAACGGACAAAAATTAAAGAGAAAGAAAAAATATTAAAAGCAACAAGGAAAAGCAACAAATAACATAAAGGGGAACTCCCATAAGGTTAACCAGCTGATTTCTCAACAGAAATTCTGCAGGCCAGAAGGGAGGGGCACAATTTATTTAAAGTGATGAAAGGGAAGAACCTACAACCAAAAATACTCTACCCAGCAAGGCTCTCACTTGGATTCTACAGAGAAATCAAAAGCTTTACAGATAAGCAAAAGCTAAGAGAATTCAGCACCACCAGACCAGCTTTGCAACAAATGCTAAAGGAACTTCTCTAAGCAGAAAATAAAAGGCCACTACTAGAATCAAGAAAATTAGGAATGGAAAAGCTCACTGGCAAAGGGAAACATACAGTAAAGGCAGTAAAGGTAAGAAATCATCTGCACACAAATATATCAAAACCAGTGATTGTGAGAAGAGGAGAGCACAAATGCAGGCTATTGGAAATGCATTGGAAATTAAAAGACTAGCAACTTGAAACAATTTTGTTTATATATAGACTGCTATATCAAAACCTCATGGTAACCACAAACTGAAAATCTATAATTAATACACACACAAAAAAGAAAACGGAATCTAAACACAATACTAAAGTTAGTCATCAAATCACAAGAGAAGAGAACAAAAGAGGAAGGGAAGAAAAAAGACCTACAAAAACAAATCCAAAACAATTAAGAAAATGGCAAAAGGATATGGCAATTACCTTAAATGTAAATGGATTAAATGCTCCAACCAAAAGACATATACTCGCTGAATGGATACAAAAACAAGACCCACATATATGCTGTCTACAAGAAACCCACTTCAGATCTAGGGACATATACAGACTGAAAGTGAAGTAAGTCAGACAGAGAAAGACAAATATATGATATCGCTTATATGTGGAATCTGAAAAAGAAATGTGATACAAATGAACTTACTTACAAAAAGAAACAGACTCACAGACTTAGAGAATGAACTTATGGTTACTGGGGTGGGGGGGGAAGTGTGGGGGAGGGATAGATTGGGAGTTTGGGATTGACATGTACACACTACTGTATTTAAAATAGATAACCAACAAGGACCTACTGTATAGCACAGGGAACTCTGCTCAATATTCTGTAATAACCTAAATGGAAAAATAATTTGAAAAAGAATAGATACATATATATGTATAACTAAATCACCTTGTTGTACACCTCAAACTAACACAACACTGTTAATCAACTATGTTCCAATATAAAATTAAAATTAAAAAAAAATAAAATTGGGCTTCCCTGGTGGCGCAGTGGTTGAGAGTCCGCCTGCCGATGCAGGGGACACAGGTTTGTGCCCCGGTCCGGGAGGATCCCACATGCTGCAGAGCGGCTAGGCCCATGAGCCATGGCCGCTGGGCCTGCACGTACCGCAAAAATAAATAAATAAAATTTAGCCAGTCTTTCATTGAGGGAAATGGTTTCATTGAAGAAAAGTCAATCGTTTATATTAGGGGTTGCAAACTTTTTCTGTAAAGGGCCACATAGTAAATATTTTAGGCATTTCAGGCAATACAGTATCTGTTGCAACTACTCAACTCTGTTGGATGTGGTATAAAGGTAGCCGTAGACAATAAATGAATGAGCATGGCTGTACTCCAAGAAAACTTTGTTTACAAAACTAGGTGGTGGGCCAGATTTGGCATACAGTCTATTATTTGCTGAGCCCTGTCCTGAACTGTAGTATCTCTAAGTGGGACTAGGTAGGTTGGGGAAGAAAAATAAAACTTAGATCAACAGATATTACTTAGAATATCTGCAGATAATCTGGTAACCATCATTATAGATTAGGGAGTAAAACCCAACCAATCAGAATATTGTGCTAGGAGTGGGAACAGGATATACAAGAAGACTAGATGAAACTAGATCACGAGTTTTCCATCTGACGAAGAAGAAAGGTCAGTGACAAGCAGAACTAGAGTCAATAAAAGCCAGTGGGGTGTAGAGAACAAAGAGAATACTGCTCACTGGACTGATCACAACAGCATTCATAGAGAAGGAGACCTCTTGCTGAACTTGTGAGACGGGTATGATTCAAGTGGGTGAAAACCAGGTGAAGAAACACAACATGAACAAAGGCACAGGCAAGTATGAGTAAGGTGTGTTCACAGAATAGTGAGTTGGCAGATTGGAGCAAAGTTGGAAAGGTGTTTATGGAGTATCACAGAAGACTTTTACACATCAGTTTTAACAGTGTGAACACTTTTTGTAGAGTTAGTGGGAGGTACTTAGGATTTCTGAGCTTCTAGTACAATGTTCTCTACAAAGCAGGCAACTCAAAGAACCCTCCTCCTTTAGAAAGACAGTGAGGCTGGCTGCATCTTACATATTAAAAATGTGATGTTACTAACAGGTCACATTTATTAAGCCATTATTATCTGCCTGATAATAACATACTAAGTGCTTTACTATCATATGTCATTTAATATTTATAAGAAAATCACTGAGGTGATTATTTTTATCCCTATTTTACAGGTTAGAAAACTGAGATGCAGAAGTTAACTTACCCAAATCCATCCAGCTTGGAAGAGGCAGAGTGTGGGTTTAAACCTAGGTCTGTCTGTAAGCTTTTAATCATTCTCCTAAATGGCTTCTCAGTGCATTTAAACATATTTTTGTGTTTTAAATAAAACATTTTTTTAAAACCTCATTTCTAAATTGTCTCTTTGTTTCTCCTACTCAAAAATCCCCAATACTATGATTACCTTTCTCATCTTAAGTCTTCCTACTAAATATTTTTTCCAAGACCAACAGATTCATAATCAAAGATTTAGAAATTTAGGAGGAGGGGAAGATGGCGTAAGAGTAAGACGCGGAGATCACCTTCCTCCCCACAGATACACAAGAAATACATCTACACGGGGAACAACTCCTACTGAACACTGGCAGAAGACCTCAGACCTCCAAAAAGGCAAGAAAGTCCCCACGTACCTGGGTAGGGCAAAAAAAAAAAAAGAATAAACAAAGACAAAAGGATAGGGACGGGGCCTGCACCAGTGGGAGGGAGCTGTGAAGGAAAGGTTTCCACACACTAGGAGCCCCTTCATGGGCGGAGATTGTGGGTGTCGGAGGTGGAAAGCTTCGGAGCAGCAGAGGAGAGCGCAGCAACAGGGGTGCGGAGGGCAAAGCGGATAGATGCCCGCATAGAGGATCGGTGCCGACCAACCGGCACTCACCAGCCATAGAAGCTTCTCTGCTCACCCGCCGGGGTGGGCAGGGCTGGGAGCTGAGGCTCGGGCTTCGGTCGGAGCGCTGGAAGAGGACTGGGGATGGCAGCGTGAATACAGCCTGCAGGGGGTTAGTGCACCACGGCTAGCCGGGAGGGAGTCCAGGAAAAAGTCTGGACCTGCCGAAGAAGCAGGAGACTTTTTCTTCCCTCTTTGTTTCCTGGTGCGCGAGAGAGGATTAAGAGCGCTGCTTAAGGGAGCTCCAGAGACTGGCATGAGCCGCGACTAAAAGCGCAGACCCCAGAGACGGGCATGAGATGCTAAGGCTGCTGCTGGCACCACCAAGAAGCCTGTGTGCGAGTACAGGTCACTATCCACACCCCCTTTACAGGGAGCCTGTGCAGCCCGCCACTGCCAGGGTCCCGGGATCCAGGGACAACTTACCCGGGAGAACGCACGGCGCGCCTCAGGCTGGTGCAACATCAAGCCGGCCTCTGCCGCAGCAGGCTCGCCCCGCACTCCGTGCCCCTCCCTCCCCCCGGCCTGAGTGAGCCGGAGTCCCCAAAGCAGCTGCTCCTTTATCCCCGTCCTGTCTGAGCGAAGAACAGACGCCCTCTGGCGACCCACACGCAGAGGCGGGGTCAAATCCAAAGCTGAGCCCCTGGGAGCTGTGACAACGAAGAAAAGAAAGGGAAATCTCTCCCAGCAGCCTCAGAAGCAGCGGATTAAAGCTCCACAATCAACTTGATGTACCCTGCATCTGTGGAATACGTGAATAGACAACGAATCATCCCAAATTGAGGAGGTGGACTTTGAGAGCAAGATTTATGATTTTCTTCCCCTTTTCTTCATTTTGTGAGTGTGTATGTCTATGCTTCTGTGTGAGATTTTGTCTATATAGCTTTGCTTCCACCATTTGTCCTAGGGTTTTATCCGTCCGTTGTTGTTTTTTTCAATATTTTTTTTTCTTAATAACTATTTTTTATTTTAATAACTTTACTTTATCTTCTTTCTCTTTCTCTCTTTCTTTATTTCTTTCTTTCTTGTTTTCTTCCTCTTTCTTTCTTCCTTTCTTTCCTTCCCTCCTTTAGACAACAAATCATCCCAAACTGAGGAGGTGGACTTTGACAGCAAGATTTCTGATTTTTTCCCCTTTTCCTCTTTTAGTGAGTGTGTATGTCTATGCTTCTGTGTGAGATTTCGTCTGTATAGCTTTGCTTCCACCATTGGTCCTAGGGTTCTAGCCGTCCATTTTTTGTTCTTTTTTAAAATTTTTTTTCTTAATAATTATTTTTTTATTTTAATAACTTTATTATTTTACCTTAATTTCTTTTATTTTACTTTATCTTCTTTCTTTCTTTCTTTGCTTCCTTCCCTCCTTCCTTCCTTACTCCCTCCTCCCTCACTCCGTCCTTTCCTTCCTTCCTACTTTTCTTTCTTTCTTTCTCTTTCTTTCTTTCTTTCTTTCTTTTCTTTCTACTTCTACTAATTCTTTCTTTCTACTTTTTCTCTCTTTTATTCTGAGCTGTGTGGATGGAAGACACTTTGTGCTGCACCCAGGAGTCAGTGCTATGCCTCTGAGGTGGGAGAGCCAACTTCAGGACACTGGTCCACAAGAGACCTCCCAGCTCCACATAATACCAAACGGTGAAAATCTCCCAAAGATCTGCTTCTCAACAACAGCACCCAGCTTCACTCAATGACCAGCAAGCTACAGTGCTGGACACCATATGCCAAAAAACTAGCAAGAGAGGAACACAACACTACCCATTAGCAGAGAGGCTGCCTAAAATCATAATAAGTCCACAGACACCCCAAAACACACCACCAGACGTGGACCTGCCCACCAGAAAGACAAGATCCAGCCTCATCCACCAGAACACAGGCACTAGTCCCCTCCAACAGGAAGCCTACACAACCCACTGAACCAACCTTAGCCACTGGGGACAGACACCAAGAACAGCGGGAACTATGAACCTGCAGACTGCAAAGAGGAGACGCCAAACACAGTAAGATAAGCAAAATGAGAAGACAGAAAAACACACAGCAGATGAAGGAGCAAGATAAAAACCCACCAGACCTAACAAATGAGGAGGAAATAGGCAGTCTACCTGAAAAAGAATTCAGAATAATGATAGTAAAGATGATCCAAAATCTTGGAAATAGAATAGACAAAATGCAAGAAACATTTAACAAGGAACTAGAAGAACGAAAGATGAAACAAACAATGATGAACAACACAATAAATGAAATGAAAAATACTCTAGATGGGATGAATAGCAGAATAACTGAGGCAGAAGAACAGATAAGTGACCTGGAAGATAAAATAGTGGAAATAACTACTGCAGAGCAGAATATAGGAAAAAGAATGAAAAGAACTGAGGACAGTGTCAGAGACCTCTGGGACAATATTAAATGCACCAACAGTCGAATTATAGGGGTTCCAGAAGAAGAAGAGAAAAAGAAAGGGACTGAGAAAATATTTGAAGAGATTAGAGTTGAAAACTTCCCTAATATGGGAAACAAAATAGTTAATCAAGTCCAGGAAGCACAGAAAGTCCCATATAGAATAAATCCAAGGAGAAATATGCCAAGACACATATTAATCAAACTGTCAAAAATTAAACACAGAAAACATATTAAAAGCAGCAAGGGAAACCCAACAAATAACACACAAGGGAATCCCCATAAGGTTAACAGCTGACCTTTCAGCAGAAACTGTGCAAGCCAGAAGGGACTGGCAGGACATATTTAAAGTGATGAAGGAGAAAAACCTGCAACCAAGATTACTCTACCCAACAAGGATCTCATTCCGATTTGATGGAGAAATTAAAACCTTTAAAGACAAGCAAAAGCTGAGAGAGTTCAGCACCACCAAACCAGCTTTACAACAACTGCTAAAGGAACTTCTCTAGGCAAGACACACAAGGGAAGGAAAAGACCTACAATAACGAACTGAAAACAATTAAGAAAATGGGAATAGGAACATACATATTGATAATTAACTTAAATGTAAATGGACTAAATGCTCCCACCAAAAGACACAGATTGGATGAATGGATACAAAAACAAGACCCATATATATGCTGTCTACAAGAGACCCACTTCAGACCTAGAGACACATACAGACTGAAAGTAAGGGGATGGAAAAAGATATTCCATGCAAATGGAAACCAAAAGAAAGCTGGAGTAGCAATTCTCATATCAGACAAAATAGACTTTAAAATAAAGACTACTAGAAGAGACAAAGAAGGACAGAATGATCAAGGGATTGATCCAAGAAGATAAAACAATTGTAAATTATTCACCCAACATAGGAGCACCTCAATACATAAGGCAAATACTAACAGCCATAAAAGGGGAAATCGACAGTAACACATTCAAAGTAGGGGACTTAAACACCCCACTTTCACCAATGGACAGATCATCCAAAATGAAAATCAATAAGGAAGCCCAAGCTTGAAATGATACATTAAACAAGGTGGACTTAATTGATATTTATAGGACATTCCATCCAAAAACAACAGAATACACATTTTTCTCAAGTGCTCATGGAACATTCTCCAGGGTAGATAATATCTTGGGTCACAAATCAAGCCTTGATAAATTTAAGAAAATTGAAATTATATCAAGTATCTTTTCCGACCACAATGCTTTGAGACTAGATATCAATTACAGGAAAAGATCTGTAAAAAATACAAACACATGGAGGCTAAACAATACACTACTTAATAACGAAGTGATCACTGAAGAAATCAAATAGGAAATAAAATAATACCTAGAAACAAATGACAATGGAGACACGATGACCCAAATCCTATGGGATGCAGCAAAAGCAGTTCTAAGAGGGAAGTTTATAGCAATACAATCCTACCTTAAGAAACAGGAAGCATCTCGAATAAACAACCTAACCTTGCACCTAAAGCAATTAGAGAAAGAAGAAGGAAAAAACCCCAAAGTTAGCAGAAGGGAAGAAATCATAAAAATCAGATCAGAAATAAATGAAAAAGAAATGAAGGAAACAAGAGCAAAGATCAATAAAACTAAAAGCTGGTTCTTTAAGAAGATAAACAAAATTGATAAACCACTAGCCAGACTCATCAAGAAAAAACAGGAGAAGATAAAAATCAATAGAATTAAAAATGAAAAAGGAGAAGTAACAACTGACACTGCAGAAACACAAAGGATCATGAGAGATTACTAAAAGCAACTCTATGCCAATAAAATGGACAACCTGGAAGAAATGGACAAATTCTTAGAAATGCACAACCTGCCAAGACTGAATCAGGAAGAAATAGAAAATATGAACAGACCAATCGTAAGCACTGAAATTGAAACTGTGATTAAAAATCTTCCAAAAAACAAAAGCCCAGGACCATATGCCTTCACAGGCGAATTCTATCAAACATTTAGAGAAGAGCTAACACCTATCCTTCTCACACTCTTCCAAAATATAGCAGAGGGAGGAACACTCCCAAACTCATTCTATGAGGCCACCATCACCTTCATACCAAAACCAGACAAGGATGTCACAAAGAGAGAAAACTATAGGCCAATATAACTGATGGACATAGATGCAAAAATTCTCAACAAAATACTAGCAAACAGAATCCAACAGCACATTAATAGGATCATACACCATGATCAAGTGGGGTTTATTCCAGGAATGCAAGGATTCTTCAATATATGCAAATCTATCAATGTGATAAACCATATTAACAAATTGAAGGAGAAAAACCATAAGATAATCTCAATAGATGCAGAGAAAGCTCTCAACAAAATTCAACACCCATTTATGATAAAAACCCAGCAGAAAGTAGGCATAGAGGGAACTTTCCTCAACATCATAAAGGCCATACATGACGAACCCACAGCCAACATCGTCCTCAATGGTGAAAAACTGAAAGCATTTCCACTAAGATCAGGAAAAAGACAAGGTTGCCCACTCTTACCACTCTTATTCTACCTAGTTCTGGAAGTTTTAGCCACAGCAATCAGGGAAGAAAAGGCAATAAAAGGAATCCAAATCGGAAAAGAAGAAGTAAAACTGTCACTATTTGCAGATGACATGATACTATACATAGAGAATCCTAAAGATGCTACCAGAAAAGTACTAGTGCTGATCAATGAATTTGGTAAAGTAGCAGGATACAAAATTAATGCACAGAAATCTCTGGCATTTCTATACACTAATGATGAAAAATCTGAAAGAGAAATTAAGGAAACACTCCCATTTACCATTGCAACAAAAAGAATAAAATATCTAGGAATAAATCTACCTAAGGAGACAAAAGACCTGTATGCAGAAAATTATAAGACACGGATGAAAGAAATTAAAGATGATACAAATAGATGGAGAGATATACCATGTTCTTGGATTGGAAGAATCAACATTGTGAAAATGACTCTACTACCCAAAGCAATCTACAGATTCAATGCAATCCCTATCAAACTACCACTGGCATTTTTCACAGAACTAGAACAAAAAATTTCACAATTTGTATGGAAACACAAAAGACCCCAAATAGCCAAAGCAATCTTGAGAACAAAAAATGGAGTTGGAGGAATCAGGCTCCCCAACTTTAGATTACACTACAAAGCTACAGTAATCAAGACAGTATGGTACTGGCACAAAAACAGAAAGATAGATCAATGGAACAGGATAGAAAACCCAGAGATAAATCCACACACATATGGTCACCTTATCTTTGATAAAGGAGGCAGGAATGTACAGTGGAGAAAGGACAGCCTCTTCAATAAGTGGTGCTGGGAAAAGTGGGCAGGTTCTTGTAAAAGTATGAGATTAGATCACTCCCTAACACCATACACAAAAATAAGCTCAAAGTGGATTAAAGACCTAAATGTAAGGCCAGATGCTATCAAACTCTTAGAGGAAAACATAGGCAGAACACTCTATGACATAAATCACAACAAGATCCTTTTTGACCCACCTCCTAGAGAAATGGAAATAAAAACGAAAATAAACAAATGGGACCTAATGAAACTTAAAAGCTTTTGCACAGCAAAGGAAACTTTAAACAAGACCAAAAGACAACCCTCAGAATGGGAGAAAATATTTGCAAATGAAGCAACTGACAAAGGATTAATCTCCAAAATATATAAGCAGCTCATGCAGCTCAATAACAAAAAAACAAATAGTCCAATCCAAAAATGGGCAGAAGACCTAAATAGACATTTCTCCAAAGAAGATATACAGAGTGCCAACAAACACATGAAAGAATGCTCAACATCATTAATCATTAGAGAAATGCAAATCAAAACTACAATGAGATATCATCTCACACCAGTCAGAATGGCCATCATCAAAAAACTAGAAACAATAATGCTGGAGAGGGTGTGGAGAAAAGGGAACACTCTTGCACTGTTGGTGGGAATGTAAATTAATACAGCCAGTATGGAGAACAGTATGGAGGTTCCTTAAAAAACTACGAATAGAACTACCATATGACCCAGCAATCCCACTACTGGGCATATACCCTGAGAAAACCATAATTCAAAAAGAGTCATGTACCAAAATGGTCATTGCAGCTCTATTTACAATAGCCCAGAGATGGAAACAACCTAAGTGTCCATCATCGAATGTATGGATAAAGAAGATGTGGCCATATATACCATGGAATATTACTCAGCCATAAAAAGAAACGAAATTGAGCTATTTGTAATGAGGTGGATAGACCTAGAGTCTGTCACAGAGTGAAGTAAGTCAGAAAGACAAAGCCAAATACCGTATGCTAACACATTTATATGGAATTTAAGGGGAAAAAAATGGCATGAAGAACCTAGGGGTAAGACAGGAATAAAGACACAGTCCTACTAGAGAACGGACTTGAGGATATGGGGAGGGGGAAGGGTAAGCTGTGACAAAGTGAGAGAGAGGCATGGACATATATACACTACCAAACATAAGGTAGATAGCTAGTGGGAAGCAGCTGCATAGCACAGGGAGATCAGCTCGATGCTTTGTGACCGCCTAGAGGGGTGGGATTGGGAGGGTGGGAAGGAGGGAGACGCAAGAGGGAAGAGATATGGGAACATATGTATATGTATAACTGACTCACTTTGTTATAAAGCAGAAACTAGCACACCATTGTAAAGCAATTATACTCCAATAAAGATGTAAAAACAAAGATTAGAAATTTAAATTCTGTTCAAATTTCATCCAATCTGAGTTCACTAATTTAACATAAAATTGTGATTTTTTAAATCAATGCCGTATCTATCCATCTCTATATATAATTATTTTCACACTATTTTTTGTCTACATTTTAGGTGGGCCTTGCTTTATGGCACACAAACCATATATTTATCTCACATGACTTTTTGCTCAAGCATAATAGTGGAATACAATTTCAAATAAGTAAAAATGCTTATAAATAAAACCTAGAGGGGAACAACCTGTTAACAACAGCTGCATTAAAGTTATGTGATTACAGGTGATCTGTTTCTTTTTCTCTTATTCTCTAAATTAATTAAAATTGAATATATTAGTGTTATAATTCCAAATGTAATCATGTGAAAATGTTTTCTTAAAAAAAAAAGATTATGAAACAACACCTTGGGATCTACTCTACTAAGCAACTAATAAAATAATTTCCTAATGCAAAAAAGTGACTACATTCCATGAAGGTGCCATGATTCTTGGTTACATGTACTTAGAGCTATTAAGACTCATTAATTCACTGGGATCTAATATCAGGGTAGCTGGTATGGGCCTATCTTTGGTTTCTCTAAATTCAATCAATTTAAGAGAAATAAGAGTAGGGGCTTAGTGGATTAGTCACAACAGGCCATTAATCTCTGCACTCTCAATTGTAATCCAGCCTCTACCAAAGTGATTGGAGAAAAAAATCCCACAAAATACCAAAACACTCAAAAAAGCTCCAAAGCCAGCTCCGTAGAGACCGGCTGATGTAGGTCACAGTTTGCTTGTTTTTACTTAACATCAATACAGCACTTGTCATCTGTCCTATTTCTTGTTTTTCTTTTTGCCTTTTGCTTAAATTCTCAGAACAGCTGTATTTGAAAAGGAACCACGTTGCAATCCCACAAATGGCCTAGCATTTAATTATCATTTTAAAAATCATTCTCTTAAGTGAATGTGAAACATAAATCAAAACTATCTTCTCATGTTGAAAATTTATTGAAAAAACATGCTTAAGGTTACCATATGTGTAAATTAGTGCTTGAGAAAGCTGGCAAAACTAAATAATGAAAAGAAAAGAGAGCAACCAGATTGTAGTAAAAATGAACAAGTGACAGTTTTAAAACATGTAAATATTATATATTTTCTCATAAATGGACTGGATCATAATACCTCATATCTTTATTGCTCTGGCCAATAAGCCAATATTTACTAACGTATCAAGCAAGAAAAACTACGGGCACATTCCTGAATCAAGATTTTGTTTATGCCATCATTGTGAGGGTTGAGTATTTACTGGGTCACATGAGACCATACACTGTATTAGAGGCCTTGGTAAGTCTAAACCCTAGTTATAAAATTAAAATATGTCATTAACTTTTTTAATATTAAAGAAGACTGTGGGCCAGACTCAGTAAGTTATCTCTGAAGATCATTTTTATGACAAAGACATGATGGTCTTCTTTCTTATAATCTCTAAAGTATTCTCCAAACATCCCAGCTTCCCCTAGTGAATCAGATTCAACCAACCTTAACTGATTATGTGTTATGTGCAGGCATTGTGCTAAACACATTCACATGAACTGGCTCATTTAATTCTCATGTTTTAAATGATATTGCCAAATTCCTTCCTAATATTTCCCAACATGTCTTTTGCTCTTTTAGCTTCAGCTATAACAATACAAAACCCGCCATTTATTAAGTACATATGCCAAGCACTATGCTGCATTTTTAAATTTCAGTCTCCCTTAACTCCAAAAATAGATGTTATTCCTCCAGTTTTCAAAAGAGAACACTAAGGATTAGACATTTTAAGTAACTTCTTAACCTCACACAAAAAGTAACAGCAGAGTTAAGATAAAATTCTAAGACTTTAATATAAAGACGCCGCCGGCAAGGTTTTCAGTAAATGCTTTTATGGAGTAGTCAATGATGGCCCCTAGACTCTTTCTCAGGGTCTTACTAGAGAGCTACAAGGTCAGAATTCCACAAATATGGTTTGGGTTGGTCTTTCATTATGCCTTATCCTTACACTTGCCCATCTCAAGAGTCACTTCCCACTTTTCTGCTCACTCACAACCTCCAAAGTTCTTCCTCTAATTTAATCTTGCTGCTTTGACATTTCAAAAACTGGAAAAGTTTAGCATCAACAGTAAACTTTGATAATTTTCTTAAAAGTTTCATAACACTATAAAATTTCCAAGTTGGAAAGAGACCTAGAAATTAACCAGTCCAATATCCCTGTTTAAAAGGAGAAAACTGGGATTCAGACCAGTAAAACTACATACTTCACAACACAATACAGTGGCAAAACAAGTACTAACCACAACATGTTCTAACTTCCATCCCAGTAATCTTTTCTGCAAACCACCTGAGCCATTCTTCCCTATAATTTATGAAAATATGCTCTAGGAAGAATACTTAAGTAGGCTCAAATTTCTGAACTTAGGAAAGCTATTTGCTTGTCCTTAACCATGGTTTCCTGTCACTGATCTGACTTATTAAGCAAAAATAACATCTTGAATGCCATGGCTATTTGGTTTTTGCTTAATACTTTCTGGGAGTGGACCACTATTGAAAGGATCTGTCAAAAACGAGACAACAGGCCCAAAATAGAGTCATCTATGCTAAGGCCCATGTCACCAAATCAAGACTTAATACCTAACCTAACTGCAGTTTCAGCCTTTTTCAGGAATATAATCTTAACCAGTCACTCTGGAATTTCCTGGTCAGCACTAATGAGGTAATATGCCAGGTAGATTCCTACTGTCCCCCAAAGGAAGGTGGCCTTGTCTGAAACAATCAAGTCTTTGCTAGTAACTTTCCTGTCCCACCCTCTTCTGCCTATAAAATCTTCCAATTTGTACAGCTCTTTGGAGCTCCTTTCTATCTGCTAGATGGGATGCTGCTCAATGTATGAATTGTTGAATAAACACCAATAGTATCTTTAAAATTTACTCAGTTGAATTTGCGTATTTTTAAACAGATCTTTGAAAGCTTAATAACTGTTCTACATACTTGTTTACTTCCTCCAGGAATTCAAGTATATTCCTGGCGACTTATACACAGGTTATATATTACTTATGGATATAATATGGTAAAAACATAAAGAACTTCACACTGTTTTACCCAGTAATCACAATACTGGGATTATTTTAAAGAAATAATTCAATAGTAATAAATATCTATAGACATAAAAACATATGCCCAAAATGACAAATCTAGAAATAACATAGATGCTCCAAAATAGGGAAAAAGAGAAATATAAATAATGCTATTTTAGATGAATAAAATATTATGAAACTATTACAAAGAAAATCATAAATGTTAAAGTGGCAAATACTAGCCAATTGTTCACTAGACCACGTTCCCTTTGTTCCTGGGCTAAGGCAAGTCTTGTGACTAGCCTGCAATTCTCAAACTCTTTTGCAATAAGATGTTGCCATGTGATTGACCAGAAGTGAGGTACAGTTTTCCTGTTAAGCCCATAAACACCTCTCCCATGATCGTCCTCCTCACTCTTTTTCCAGCTGTTAATGTTGATGTCCAGAACAATATTGGAAGCCATGTCTTGAAGATAGCAGAGACTATCAGCCTTGAGACTCCCAAGTCACTACACAGACAGGATTCCTTCTCTTTTATCCCTTCCCCCTCACCAAGCCCCTATTCTCTCTCTCTCTCTCTCTCTCTCTCTCACACACACACACACACACACACACACACACACACACACACACACAAACTGACACCAATTAGACAATTAATGTGAGCAGGAAGTAAGCTTCTACTGTGTTATGTTACTGAGACTGTGGGGTTTACCAGTCACAAAGTCCTGGATTTCCTAAACTAATACAACTAGGAAGCAACATGGGGGAATACTTAAGATATAATGTAAAAATTTTATTTAAGTACAAAGCTTTAAGGGAAAAAAGTTATAATTGCAAACTTTGGGAAATGAAAATTTAGTCTATGAAGAATCAGTTTGTTTTCCTAAATTTTCTTTGATACTATTCTTCTATTATATTTAGCATTAAAATTAAGTCAATGACTTTTAGTATCATGCATGTTTGTAACACTAAAACACTTGCATATACAGTCCCTTGCTTGTAAGGAGTACTGATCAAAGAGGAGCATTTCAATTGAACACACAATTAAACTAAACAGCAAATGCACAAATAAAACTCTCATTTTTAATTTGACACATTTTACCTTTAGATATAGAACATTATAAAACTTTACCTGGCTCAGTCAGGCTCTAATTTCAGCAATTCTAAAAGCAAGAGGAACCAAAAAAAAAAAAGGCTGCACCAACTCACACACTATTTTAATTGCATAGGACTCTCATTTAGTCACTACAACACAGAACTTCAAAGACACAAACTAAAAGGCCACGAAGAACGTCTTCATAACAGTGGAAAAACAGGGGTGGAACCTGTTAGAGATAACAAAAAATGATGACTTCACTACATTATATTTCATTCTATAAGATGTGAGTGACTTAGAGCTGGTATCATTACTGTGTACTGCAAGACAGCCAGCCAGTGATATATTTCTATTTACACCCAGGCCATACAACAAACATTTATTATACGTAGATGCCTCACTTTCTAACTATCAGTATAATTTCCATACATGTACTGCAAGATTAACAGTAGAAGACTTTTTTCTATAACCTCCTCTTATTTTTTTCTAAAATTAACAAGCAAACAAACAACAAACCACCTAACTGACCATTTCCTCACAGTTATAAAGATCAACTAGGAGATTATAGGCAGAATGTACAGCCAAGAACAGCAAATAAACTATGTTCTTTCAATTTCTAGGCTCTTGGAAATACCCGCCTCCGCCCCCCCATGGTAAAAACTGTTGGGTGCCACAGTTCTGTTTCTAAAGGCTGGGCAAGGTTGGGCGGGGGGAGGTAAAGTTTTCTGACACAAGACTAAAAACACCTTAGAAAACAGTTTCCTGTATTGCTCTGCCTCAAGACTAAAGGGTGGGTAGGCTTTTCCCCTAAAGCACTCTAGTTCATTGCTAACTAAAGAACAGTGAGCTTTCTCAAGTGCTGGTTTCTCCCAAGCTGGAACCCAGTGAGAAAACAACCATATCCTTAGCAATTTCCTTTAATAGGAACAGAGATGGAATGAAAAAAGAACAACAATGCATCCATGGATCCTTCATCGCCCTAATTCAAGTCTCACAGGATGGTATCTCAGAACACAAAGGAGCAGAAATACATTTTAAACAATGGTGAAGTGCCCTGACTAAGGCTGGTTTGTCAAATGCAGATAAGAGTTGAGTCTGAGAAGGAAATACAAAGCTATCCAATAAGTTGTTCCCTGGGAAAGTTTCAGTTCTGACTGCATGCAGTAGAAGCAAAAGGGCAGCTAACAGAGAAGTCTTCTTTATTTTCCCTCCCTCTTAACCTCCATACAAGATCTGAATCTTGTTTCCCAGTCTCCTGTGAAGGAAGAAAAGCCATTCTAAATCAATCCTTATTATTCATTTATATATCAACTCACTCACTTATTATTGAGTATCAACTAAAATGCCAGGTTCTAGTTTGAGCAATGGGAAAAAAATTGTGTATCACTAAATATACATTCTACAAAGGCAAGGCTGTTTAGCTTACTATATTTTAACTTCTGTCTGGCCCAGTGCCTCACTGATAGGTGGCATTTATTAGCATTTGTGAAATTAATGAACCAACCCATTAAACCCCTTCAGAGTGGGAGATAACCCTTCCATAGACATGTACCAATATCTGTCCTTTTCAAGAATCCTATGAGGTATTTATATTATTCCAAAATCATGGAAGAGGAATGGTCCCTACTCAATAAGTGCTGCCATCAAAATTGTTTTCCTTAAAGGTGAAAGGTAACTTGTGTGTATGGCAGGAAGAGGGAGCAGCAGAAGAGGAATATGTTGACTCATATCCTTCAGTAAATATGTTTATTCCAACTGTGGCTTTGCTGCCAAATGTGTTGTGAAAACAGCAGGACTTGGCTCTGATAAATTCACCTGAAAGTAACAGGCTTCATTTCCTACTGCCAGCCCCTTCGGCCTATGGGCGTTAAGTATGGGACAAAGTTAAAGATTAATTCTCCATTTACTGTGACAAAGGTCCCATCTCTCCTGGATCAGGAGGAAAAGGCATTTGTAGACTGTCTCCTTCACAACCACTGAAGATCTTTCCACTTCCATCCTGATGGCACCTTAATGCAAATGAACTCAAACCCAAACACTGGCTACCCCATTACCAGTCCAATCTTGCTAATAAAAGCAATTATGGCTGTGTTATAAAGGCAATCCCAGACCATTCATTAGCATTCACAGCACCCACCCCACCCTTACATGTTATAAATCATTTAAAGTTTTGTTTAAGATTACACAAGATGAAAACGGCAGAAAGTTGCAGGAAAGATTCAATTACCAAAGGCAATAAAATGATAGTTGCCATATTTCAAAATCTAGGGTCAACCAATAGCATCTTGGCTCTTTTTCCTAGGGTAGAAATACAAACTAAGTAAGGAGGTAAATTCTGTAGTCTAAATCTGAGTTATCACAAAAGCTTCTGGGAAGCTACATGGAACTAGAGACGATACTGGAAAATAACTAGTGTTCTGGGCCAAATGGAGCATAGCTGGACTAAAGCCAAAAGCTTTAACCCTGACTGGTCTGCTCCTAAAGAAGATAAAGGTATAAACTAGACCTATCCCCCTGAGCCTTAAAATATGCCCTCCTTGCACAGAGAGGCACAAGGGTAATTTTTACTACTATTATATGTAAGCTATTACTGTTATTAGCATAATATTTCTTATATGCTATTCTATCTCAGCCTCATCCTTTACACTCCACCCTCTAGTTGTTGCCATACTTACCTCTTCACCTTCCCCTGAATTCATTATGTCCTATCTGATTGCCCTGTCTTTACAAATATTGTTTCCTATGATCATCCCTCCCCTATCACACTCCTGGTCAATCAGCAGAAATCTTCCAAGCCAACTCTTTAGCTTTCTTTAAGACTCACCCCAAACAGCCTCTGACACTATTTACTCTCCTTCTTCTAGCACTTCCACCTCCAGAATGAGTCAGGTGCCCCTTCTCTGTCCTATTCACATACTGCTGTATCTCTTTTCACTACAGTACTTATCACAGTCTGCTATAACTACTAATATTTTTAAAATCAGTGTCCTGCTAGAAGGTTATGAATTCTTGGAGGGAAAGGTCAGTTGTCTTACTCATTCCTGTTGGATCCCCAGTACCTTAAATATACAGCACCCTCAATAAATTTTGAATGATTAAGTAAACAAAGGAAGC